CGAACCCAGGCACTAGCCAAGGACCTGTGCCAGCAAGCCCAAGCTCTGCTCCCCATGGGCAGCCCAGCAAGAGGTTGGGTGTATGTTTACAAGCAGGCCCTGCGTGCTAGGCTAAGAATGCCCGTTTCAAGCCAGTAAGTTTGCCTCCACAGAGGTGGGATTTATTCATAACTGGGCTTTTTTATGTTCTTTTTTTTCTTTCTGGTTTGAGGGCTGGGGGGTGGGAGCCACTTCATTTCACAAACACAACAGCTCATCCTGCTTTAGCTGGTGCTGTGCATGCTGTTCAGCCTGGGCAACAGACCCTCCACAGACTGGAGCTGACTTAAGTGTGTGCCTTGCACAGAATTAAACTAGGTCATTTAGCTTCAACACTGGCCGTGGTATGGCTGTTTTGAACACAACTGGGAGGACAGAACCAAGAGGAGGGAGCCTTTTATGGTTTATTGCCTTGATGCTTCATCTGGCAGATATTTATTTTTCTAGAATCCAAATTACAGAGATTCTTTCTCTGCCTGTCAGAATCTGTCAACCCTCCAACTTCTGGAAGTTACACTAGGTCTGAAAGACACAAACAGAAACCAAACACCCAGAGCACTGGGTCTACATAAAGCACTGGCTGAGTGTCTTCACAGCACATAAGGGCCCTTGCCGTGGAAAAGAAAGATTACTGAACAGTAATAAACCAAAAATCAGAAGTGCCTCAAAGGTCAGAAAACAAATGGAGCACCATGCTTTTCTGAAAACAGGGGAGAGTCTTCCCTGCCCCATGCCAAATCCTGAGAGCGAGAGCAAGAGAGAGAGAGAGAGAGAGGTTTGTTGGTTTGTTTTGGTTTTTTTTAAATGATAAACACAGGACGTTCAGGAATCCAGAGATAAAAGCATGCCCTGATTATTTTGTAAACTGTACTTTACACTTTTTTGACTTAACAACCATTCCCTGCTTAGGGCTGTGGGTGGGTGGGTGTTTTCCTCAATCCTTGGCAAGATCAGTTTATATTTCCTAACTTGCATTACCAACTGTGTAACAGACATTGACTGAACAGTGTGCTCAGTTAAACTGGAAGTAGCTGTAGATTTATCCAGTCCATGGAGAGACATTCTCACTGAAAGCATTAGTAACGAGAGCCCACCAGCCAGAGCACCAGGGGCCTTGGCCTCCTGTACAGCAGTCACCCTTGTGCTCGTTTTCCTCCATGCTGTGTTCCTGTTGTCCATGCTGTGTCTTCAGGCACTGGCACCTCCCCTATCACATGTTGATGTGGATCTTAATCTGTGTCTACATCTAGCTAGCTTTTATCTAGCTGTTCCCATTCATTCAAACCCCAAGTCCTCTAGAGGGACCACACCAGGTAAGAACTTCATATGCATTTCCAGGCTGCACTTAAATGCTGCCTAACATTTAGCTGTAGCATTCTACAGATTATGACAATAAAAGGAGTTGAAATTCTCCTCTTGAGTCTTTCATTTTCTCATTACTTGAAGAAAATATTTTCCACTGTGTTCTGGGAGTAACAGCTTCAACCTTAACCCACTTGTTAACCAAGACTGTGAGCAGCTTTCATAACTTCTCATTATGCCTGTATTCAAATCAAGCTTAGGCACTAAGCTGGTAGGTGTTACTTTAGCTTGCCTTGTGAACTGGAGCTGCACAGGAGCTGAGGGGGAGGGAAGGTGTGGCATTTACCAGAGCCCAGCGATTACTGTGGGAGAACCAAGTTTAAAAATGCTTCTCTGCCTTACTTAAAGATGGAACCTGAACCCACGTCTCCCCTGCTGTGAGAACAGTCACTTCTTCCCTCACACAGGCATACACTTTAAAGCTGTCACGTGGTCAGAGTTCTCTGGATTGTTTGAAAAGCCTCCCTCCTAATAAAAAGCCTCTCTTCTAATAAAATATCATTATAATGGAATTTCAAACTGCTTACCTGACCACTTCCCATTTACAGTTTCCCAGAAACATCAGGAGGCTCAGTCATTCTTCTCTTACTGTGCTAGAGAAAATTCAGTCAGAAAAAGTGTTTGCATGAGAAACCTACACAGCTACAACTCAGCAGTGGACTGGTCTCTGTGAGAGATGTGGGTTATGTTCTTAACCATGCAGAGGGATTTTAGAACCCATCTCTCACAAGCATAATCTCATCACAGAGTCACTTACCAGTGAGAAGAAAGGATCAACCTGGACTGAGGCTCCTAAATTCAGGAAAGGTCTTAATATTTGAGAATTGTAATTGGACACAGAATCCTTTAGGTTGGAAGAGACCTTTAAGATCATCAATTCCAACCATCAAGCCAACACTGCTAAGTCCTCTGCTAAAACAGAATCATGTTATACAGAGTTAGTACTTGAGGCATATTTGTCCAAACTTCCTCTTCCAAGTAATGTCTTCACAGGGATGCAGACACCAGCACTTGCCTGGGCACCTTCTGGGCCACAATGTGGCAAAGGCCGTGGGGCCAGAGCGTGGTTCAGCTCAGCACTGCAGCACGACACCCCCTTTGTGCAGCTAATCACAACCACCACACTAATGGGGAAAAAAGCTGCAACCTGAACTTTCAACAGACATTCTAGAAGATTATAACCTTGCAATTAACAAGGTAAAGATGACCAGTGTATCAACTTCTTAATGAACAATGCTTGTGAATTAGGAGGCACTATTACAAGATGAGTACAGCTGAGCCACTCATGCTGGGCACACCTGCACCTACACTGACTAGGGATGACTTTCAGCCTAGGCCGTGTACTAATTATCCCGTGTAATCAGAAAACCACAGCCTGCCAACTTAGCAAGGCCCTGGCATGTTCTGTTGCTGTGCACAGGCCCTCAAGAAGATACATGCTACTTAATGTTAATGGGAGCAGGGGCTGAAAAGGCAGGGCTGTGCATGGCCAATGATAATGAAAACAATCCTCACTCTCTGGGCTTCAGGGAGACTTGATTCTTGTATCTAAAACATCTGCAGAAGCACACCAGAAGCAGCAGTAGTTCACCTGACAAAGAGAAAGCCAACTGCCTTTATTTGGCAACAGCTTGTGAGAGATCAGCAAATATAAAAAAAAAGGACATCCAAAGATGGAAACCCCTGGATCTCAGCATACAGTTACAGGGTACAAACCTTCCATACAGCCAGGCTGCACAGTTAGATAAGCTACAGGCACATGGAGCATGACAGTCAAATCTACAGCGGCAGAAGTGTGAGACAACTGAACCCGGTGGGATCGAGGACAAGATCACCTAGCCTGATCTGCCACTTAGGACAGATTTTCAGGTCTTGCCACCCGAATTCTTGTTTGAATTAGAGCAGCTCTTGCAAATGCAGCTGCCCTTCAGTCTGTAGCTTTTAATAAGTCTACTGAAGCCTAAGCTTGAATTATTTCTTTGCTGCCAGGAAACTGTCTTATTTGCGTTATGAACTTACCCAACTTCCAACTACTGAACTACATTTCTCTTCAAGGTTGACATACCCTATTAGCCAAGTTTCTGTTCCCTCTCCAATGAAGTATCCTGATCAAGTTATCCTGTGAGATAATCCTA